TAGATTCCAACGGATGCCCGTTGGAATATATGTGATCATTCGAATTCTGCGATTAGATTCCAACAGATGCCCGTTGGAATTTAAGAATTTTTTTTAAAAAAAAAAATTTAAAAATCTCAAACATACAAATAAATATGATAGATTTTTCAAAATACAAATACATATGAAAACAATAAAAACAAATAAGTCTACATAGAATCTTCATCACTTTCATCATCCGGAGTTGTATCATGGTCCGAAACGAATTCGTCTATATCATCTTGTACGTGTAACGAATCATCAAGTAACTCGTCGTCTATGTCAGGAAGTGCAAGTGTCTCGTCGTAATCATCATCTAGTCGGATGGGAAGAACCGGATCTTCGAGTTGCTCTTGCATTGGCTCATCGAGATCTTGTGTTGTCGACGACGAATCCAAGATTAATCTTCGTGGGTTAATCTTCAAAACAGCCGACCATTGATCTTTCCGTCGCCGTTTCACCGATGTCGTAGAATGTTTCGGATATGGAATGAAGCATACCTGGTCTGCCTGATCTGAAAGTTTAAAAGGATCATACTTTGTATATGAACGTTTCGGGTTTATGTCAATACCTCCCCATCGATTTTTCCGTGAGTCGCGTCCCGACGTTGTATCAAACCAGTCACATCTGAATATGATTGTTTTCAACCCGACTAATCCTGGATACTGGAGTTGGAAAATCTGCCGAAGAACCCCAAAGAAATCAGGATCTTCCGATGATCCACTTTTTATACAAACTCCGTAATTGAACGTGGATTTATGTTTTCCATGATCGTAAGTGTGAAACGTGTATCCTCGGGTGAACATTATCGGCCAGCAAATGACTTTTCTTCCAGGTCCATGTGATATATCTCTGATCCATGCCGGAATTTTATCACTGCATGACTGAATCTGCGCATAAAAATTAAATTAATACACAAATACATACACGTACATATATATATATAGCTAGAATACTTACGTAGTCTCGAAGCCAAGATGCATAATGTTGTTCCTTCATTCCTTCAAGTTCCTCCCCACTTAGATTAGGATATGTTGCCAAAACATCCTCGTCAAAAAGTCTAAAAAACATGTTGTTAGTAAATATGTAATTAATTAATTTCTAATCACATCTAAGATTAAAAAATGTATATCTTTCGTATGGCTTAAGTTCTTCACAATTCAACAATATATATGTGGCGATGTGATTGTACTCTTGTACAGTTAACCAATATTCTTCAGATTTGCCTCCGAGGCGTCCAGTAGGCTGAAAACTTTCGGGAATAAGTCCGAAACATGAATCATAGTGGTAGAGATAACTTCTATCGTCTTCGTTGATAGCCCTCCTTGTCTTCGTCTGAATATGAGATTCAAAATAGAAAGAACTGAAGTAGGAGATCTCCTCTAACAAATACTGTTTGACGATAGATCCTTCCACTGCTGCTTTGTTTTTAGCCTTCTTCTTCAGATGGAAAAAAAATCGCTCAAATGGATACATCCATCTAAACTGTACTGGACCACCGTATAACGCCTCATCTGGTAAATGAATAGGTAAATGTTCCATCACATCAAAAAATGAAGGTGGAAATACCTTTTCCAATGCGCAAAGTATCTCAGGAATGTTGCCTTTCAAAACCTCTACATTACTTATTCTCAGAGATCTTGCACATATATCTCGAAAAAATGTGCTGATACCGCATAACGCTCCGTGGACACTCGGTTTCAATAGCTCCGCAAATGCAATAGGAATAAGTATTTGCATGAATACATGGCAATCATGACTCTTCATTCCCATAAGTTTTAATGAATCAGTATCAACACATCGCGCCAATTTGGATGCATATCCATCAGGAAATTTAACCTCTTCTTTTAACCATTTAAACAAGACCGTTTTACCTGGTTTTGTGAGTCTGAATATCGGCACAGGTGCGTGACCATCACGTGTCAACTCCAACTCTTTTCTCTTGCATATATCTTTCAAGTCCTTCCTCGAGTTGATGTTATCTTTACTTCTCCCTGGCACATTCAGAACGGTGTTGATGATGTTATCAAAAAAGTTTTTCTCTATATGCATAACATCCAGATTGTGTCGAAGCGTTAGCGAACTCCAGTAAGGCAAATCCCAAAAAATACTACGCTTATACCAGTTATGCCAATCACCAAATCCTTTGCACTTCTTATGCCCAAAATTTCCTCCACAATGCACAGAAGCTTCCAAATCATCCAAATATCCACTATTTATTCGCTCAGAATAAATTTGCTCCCCGGTTTGCATAACAGGACCTTCCTCAGTAACGATTTTACCTTTGGTAAAAAGCGTACGATTTTGTCTGAACGGATGATTCCTTCGAAGAAATCTGCGATGACAGTCAAACCAGCACGACTTTCTCCCATGTCTCAACTGAAACGCTTCTGTTTCCTCCATGCAAAACGGACATGCAAGTCTTCCATGTGTGCTCCATCCCGATAGCATGCCATACGCCGGAAAATCACTGATCGTCCAAAGAAAAACCGCTCTCAGTGTAAAATTTTGTTTCACACTTACGTCATAAGCAGGGACTCCAATGTCCCACAAATCCTTCAACTCCTTAATGAGCGGCTGTAAATACACATCAAAACTCTTCTTCGGATGTTCTGGCCCAGGAATCAACAATGTCAAAAACATAAATTCTCTTTTCATGCACATCTCAGGTGGTAAGTTGTACGGAGAAAGTATAACGGGCCATAATGAATACTGCATGCCAGACTGTCCGTACGGACTAAATCCATCAGTACACAAACATAGATACACATTCCTAGGCTCAGCAGCGAATTGAGGAAATACCATGTTGAAGTTTTTCCACGCCAAAGCATCAGATGGATGTTGCATTTCTCCATCAACGGTAGAATGCGAGGCATGCCATCTCATATGCGAAGCCGTATCATGGTCCGAAACGAATTCGTCTATATCGTCTTGTACGTGTAACGAATCATCAACAGAATTTACACATAACCAATTCTTTTTCATCACCCCAGTACAGCATGTAACCATTTTTGCAAACATCAATCTTTTCATAAGGCATTCCCAAATTCTTCAACATAGCCTTCGTATCATAATACGATTCTGGAGCTTCGTTATTTTCAGGTAAATATTCACGCAACGTTTGACAAAATGAATCCATGCAATTTTCGGTGACATTGTAATCCGTTTTCATACTCATCAATCTTGATGCAAGAGATAAACGTGACTGACCTTCTTTACATCCTTCATAGATAGGATGATTTGCCATATCCAACATGTCGAAAAACCGTTTTGTTTCGACGTTTGGCTCCTCCTGATCTTGTGATAAGTTTTGCTCAGCCAATGGCGCCCCAGGAAAAGCATCTGTCACCATTTCAACATAAGGATTTCTTACATCTTCATCTACATCATACCTCTGCTCGGCCGAGACATGTCCCGTTGTGATTGTCCGAACTTCTTCTCCGTGAAATCGCCAAATATAATAATCTTCGACAAATCCCCTTCGAAATAGATGTTTACAAACATCTTCTGGACTGCGATATTTAAAATTGCGACAACTTGTACATGGACATAGCATTTTTCCACGTTCTTGACACAACGGCTGCATAGAAGCAAAATTCATAAACTGTTCCAAACCGTTAATGAATTCTTGCGTTACCTCTTTTGTAATCGAATCAACTCTTTCGTATATCCACTGCCGGGACGAACGAATATTCGGATTTGTTGAAGATGTCATTTTTTGGAGAATTTTTGGTAAAAGAATGGTGTAAGAGTGATTTAGAGAGTGGTTTGGGCGAACTATTTAAATAGAGAAACGTTCCAACGGATATCCGTTGGAAATCCGTTGAAAAGTTTGTTACCGTTACACTTTCCAACGGGTATCCGTTGGAAGTATTGCCGCGTTTCATAACGTTCGGATAATTTCAACGGATTGCCGTTGAAATACGTCGAACGTTATTCCCAACGGAAATCCGTTGGAATATATGTGGAAATTTTCCAACTCAAATATCCGTTGATATGCCGTTGGAAATCCGTTAGAAATGCGTTGGAATTATTCCAACGGATTAATCCGTTGGAATTTCGCATTTTTTTTTGTAGTGATATATATATATGTATATATATGAGGTGTGTGCAAGTTGCTTAAATGAAAGATTCAAAGAAAAGAACAGATAGAAAGCTTGCAAATTAGACAAGTGAGTTAATCAGAAAGAATCAGAGTTATATAGCCCCCATGTGCAGTGCAGATAATGCCCTAAAGCCGATCTCTCTGTTTATAATCACTTCCTCTCGGAAAATTCTCATTACATATCCATGCAAACAAAAAAAAAAATTAAATTCAAAAGACCCTTTGCTTACGGAGCAATCAAATTAAACACGGACTTTATAAAATAATGATTACATTTCCTCGGGATCGTTTCATAAACGATTAAAATACCTTTGGGGTCAACATGTAAAAATAATTCATACGTAGAGAGAGAGAGAGAGAGAGAGAGAGAGCAGTCAGATTCACGCAAGTGTATGTATCACACGCAGCAGCTAGCGTCGCCGGAGTTTCTTGCTTTTCACGACATCTTTAGCCTTCTCCGGCGGCGTGGACACCGGCCGTCAACTTCATCCCTCTATATACAGTTGACATATACAGCTTGATATACGTATTATATTTATATGTGTGTGCGTACGCGTGTGTATATATATAAGGAGGGGGGGAAGGACAGTGCTTAGAAGGAAAGGCAAAAGAGGGGTACGTATCTTTAGACACAATTGAACGGAATATGGGTTCGTCGAATAACGGAGGAGTGCCTCCCGGGTTTCGATTTCATCCGACAGACGAAGAGCTTCTCCACTACTACTTGAAGAAGAAGATCTCTTACCAGAAGTTCGAGATGGAAGTTGTCAGAGAGGTTGACTTGAACAAGATTGAGCCTTGGGAGTTGCATGGTAATATATACTTTAACTCCTGTTAATGTAGAATTTGCATACACGTACGTAAATTTAGTGATATCATGAATTTAATGGCATGTTTTTCTCATGCATGCTACAGAATTTTAATAGAATTCAAAACATAAACAAAGAGCTGCTCAGTCTCGGCTGAATTCTAATAAGAATTGATGGGCGCAGAAAGATGCAGGATAGGATCAACGCCACAGAACGAGTGGTATTTCTTCAGCCACAAGGACAGAAAATATCCGACGGGATCGAGGACAAACCGTGCAACGCATGCCGGGTTCTGGAAAGCCACAGGACGAGACAAGTGCATAAGGAACTGCTACAAGAAGATTGGCATGAGGAAGACTCTTGTCTTCTACAAAGGGAGAGCTCCACATGGCCAGAAAACCGATTGGATCATGCACGAATACCGTCTCGAAGATGGCGATGATCCTCAGTCCAACCTTAGTGTATGTCCCTCTAATTTCAACATCTATAAGTTCATGTATATTTTCATGCAAATCCTTATACCGATATTACTAAATATATCCATTGTTGGATTATTTTGAATAATGATGCGAATCAAGATTAATGATATGAGTTTAACGATGATGATTACCAGGAAGATGGATGGGTAATCTGTAGAGTGTTCAAGAAGAAGAATTTGTTCAAGGTGGGGAACGAGGCCAGCTCAAGCATCAACTCATCAGAACAGAACATCCACGACTCGTCTCACCACAACAACGTGGTTCAAGCACGTAGCTTCATGCACAGAGACATTCCGTACCAGTTCGTGCGCCAACACGTGTCGCCCTTTGAGCTCAACAAGCCTGAGCTCGCTCTTCAGTACCCTCCAGTTCCCGCCATGTTCCAGTCCCAGCCCATGATCCCTTCTTCCCACTATTCCTCGTGCCTTCCACGAGACTGCGAGAGCGCAGCCAGTGAGGGGATACGGTACCAGCAAGCGTGTGAGCCGGGCTTAGAGGTTGGCACGTGCGAGACTGGTGGTCAGGGTGAATGGGCGATGCTCGACAGGCTCGTGACGTGTCACATGGGAAACGAGGACGGGAACAACTCCTCGTCCGTACAACCAGCTGCTACGAGTCAGCTCACGTTGCGTGGAGAGATGGACTTCTGGGGTTATGATAAATAGATGTTTGTATCTATCTATATATTTGTGTGTGTATGTACTTGATAACATGTTTTCATTTATTTCATTGTGGTCGGAAGCAAATTGCTTAAGAACCCAATATTGCTGTCGGAATTGATTGGTATCAAACCGAAATTAGTTGATCTGTATTCTTGTATCGCTTTGCAATGCAACTAAACTAATAAGAGAAGTGGAAACGTTTCCATTCATTTTCAGAGCATCATTAGAATTTCCAAGAAACCAAAGAAATTCTAAGTTTGGGAAATGTGACATAAAGTATCTTCTTGGAAGGTGTACAAAGCCATTGGAGAGAGAGAGTTAGAGGGTGGGAGCTCTTTCAGCAGATCCAGCGATGACAGTGAGCAAGTTGTTTCCAAAAGGGTCACTGAGATGCTTGGCGAGATTCTCCACGGGACCTTCCCCTGTGACGTAGGCTTGGAAGTAGAAGCCGAGCATGGCAAACATGGCCAATCTACCGTTCTTGATCTCCTTCACCTTGAGCAGAGCCGCTTGTTCCGGGTCATTGGCAAGTCCCAATGGATCAAACGGGCCTCCTGGATGTAGCTTGTCCTCAAGATCCTGCCGTTTCAATCATGTCGAGATCAGTTTTTCTGGCACTGAGGAACGCAAGAAATTCACAGAATAGTCACATATGTACCAAGCCATTGATGATTCTGTAGTATTCAGCACCGCCGACAAGAATAACCTCGGCAATGACAGCAACGATAAGGTTGATGGGGATGTTCTTGCCAAAGTAATTCAATGTGTTTCCGTCAAGAAGCAGAGCACCCGTCTGCATTTGATGTTCATCGTTTAAAGAACCATTCAGACATTGCAAGAAAAATAACTCAGTGTTTGTGTCGACAGAGATCAAGAACAGGAGGACAAAGAGACGTACCTTGAACCAGACGGCTTCAGGGCCACAGTTGGCGCCGTATTTGTTCAAGGCCTCGGGGATGATGAAGCCGGCTGCTCCCAACATAGCCCATCTGGCGTGGATCAATTCGAAGGCTTGGTATCTGCAACACACATATTAGACAGCCCCACAGCAATATAAATCTCTATATATATATATATACACACACACACACACATATATATATATATATATATATATATAGAGAGAGAGAGAGAGGGTAATAAGCAAAGAATCTACATACTTGGCAAAGTCCTCGGGCTTCTTGCTGAGGCCAAAAGGATCATAACCATAGCTGCATTTTGACCAAGAAATGTAAGCACCAACAACGTCCATGCGAAAGAAGTTTACAGAGACAGGGGCAGAGTTAGAGAGAGGTTCTTACTCTCCAGGTACTTCACCATTCAAGTACTCAGGGATCTCTGATCTGTCCAAAAGACCGTCCGGCAAGAAAATCCTCCTGTCAGGACCTGTAGATGGGTTCCATGAAGATTCATCAACACATCTTTCCTTACATCGTGAAAGAAAAAGGGGAGGAGAGAGAGATTTCAGAAAGGAGAAGAGAGACATACCGTACCACTTAGCGAGCTCGTCGCTGGTAGCAGAGACAGAGGCGGTCTTGGACTTGGCAGGAGGAGCAGAAGCAGCCTTCTTCTTGGAGAACAGAGCCACTGTCTTGAAAGTTGCAGGGCTCGATGGCGAAGGAGCAGATGTCCTTGTGGCTCCACCGAAGTTGAGGGGCGTACCCAGCATTTCAGACACACCCAAAGACGCCATCTTTAACCTAAAGATTCAACCTTTTGGTGGTTTTTGGAGAAGAGATTCGAGTTCGAGAATATGGAGAAGAAGGAAGACGGACCACTATAAGGTTGAGAGAAGCGGAAGCTGACATGCCATGTAGGATGCTGCTTCATGGGTTCTGATTGGTCGGGTTTGGAAAATGTGAAATCTGATGCCGATTTCTGATTGGTTTATGTTACTGATTTGGCACAGAGATGGGGCTTTGTCGGATAACGGTAACGGATATATCCTATCTTCTGTTCCCCCTTTTATGTGGTGGCCAAGCTTTACCCCTCCCCTGATGCTGCTTAGGGCATATTGACAATATCAGAAGGGGTTAACTCGTGGATGATTGAGCCTAGCCGAAAAGCAGAGCATACCAATGTTGGCACTAGAAACTATCCATATCATTAGAATGACAAAGGAATCCTCCACATTTATCACCATATGTAATTCCAACAGAGAGGGAGATTTACAAGCCCTTAACACAATCCGAGTATAAGAACATGACACCACCACCGATATAAACTACAACGAAAGGTTGGTTCTTCTATAGCTCTAATAGGTTGCCGAGCTCACCATCTTCTCCACTTGTCGATTTCTTTGGAAGTGGCTTTCACCAGCTTCTTCGTGTTGATAACGAGTTCATCAATGAGAGAATCGATTTCATCCCTGATAAGAAGGAGCATCATCAGACAAAGTCACAAGTGCTAGAGGACAAAAACAAGTTTCACACTGATCAAATATACAGGAGCATGGGACACACAGTGTTCAACAGATGTTGTTTCTCCTAAACACAATGGGCCAGATCGCTAACGCAAATGCTAGTTAACAATCTCCCATCTCCAAACGCCGAGAGAGGCAGCGTTTTGGCACACAATCATCAGCGTTACGACCATGCATTTTCCTGTCTCGCGTCATCTTCGTCCAAACAAGAAAGCTCTACTTTTTCCAGTTCACCAGAAGCCGCAAACGCTGAATCACAGTCTATGAAACCCAGAAGATAAATGATACTTACATAGAGGGTTTTCCGACGTTAGAATAAGAGCGAGAGTGGTCGTAAGCAACGCCCCTCCCAACGCCATAACCAAACCCAACCCCGATTCCACATCCAGCTCCAAACCCAAACCCTAACTGAAACCCCGGAACTCCTGGTCCGAATCCGAAACCTGCACTCATCAATCAAATTCCCTTGAAAACTAAAAAAAAACCCTACGCAGATTTCGAGCAATTCGACACTCTCAGCAATCAATTTTGGAACTCGAAAGTACCTCCGATGAGTCCGATGCCAAAACCTGCTCCACAGCCGGCGCCAAGTCCGAATGCCGGACCCACTTTCCCGATGTCTCTGATCCTCACCTGAGGAAGCTTCCACAGCAATCCTCTTTCGTCGTCTCCGATGCTCCGTCTGCTGCTCATCGTCTTCGCCCCCCCTCTGGCCCTCCCTCCCTCTCTCTCTTTGGATTTCTGACTGTACAGACTTGGTATGGGCCTACACCCCAGACACCCACTTATCTTTTTGGGCTTTCAACGGCTACAACCTATTAACGAAATTATAATATATTTTATTACTTTTAATTTAATTTAACAAAGAGAGAAATAACTTCATAAGTTTACCGACTACTTTATAAAACCACATATTTAAATCTTATAAACTGAAAGCACATATAACTTTGATATTTTTCTAGATCTATTCAACATGTTGCATCAATATTTTAGATTTTATCAATTTCTTATGATATGATATATGGATAAAATTGAGAAAATAATAAAATCATATATTATTTTATACAAAAACCTCAACTGAAGAGTCTTTTGGTAATTTCAGTCAATTTCGTCTGATACATAACTTGCTATTATAAAAAATTGATTAGTGCCATTTTTATCCTATGTTGATGCTGAATGCACTACAAGTGGTGACAATATGCTTTGCTTTAACAAGCAGCCATGAATAAAATCCTCATATATATTTGTTATTTAATGCATTAACATATACCAAGTTTCATAAATAAATAAAAAAAGAGTATGACAAGAAAACATGAATTTTTAAAATTTGACAAATAAATATATAAATTTTTATTATTATATAAAAACACACAAATTTTGAAAATTTTCACGCACAACCACACAAAAAACTGATTGATTTAATTTTTTTTATGGATTTACGTGAAATTTTTTGTGTATTTTTTTACAAAAGTATAAATTTATATATTTATTTGTCAATTTTTTTTTATGTTTTTCCATATTCCAAAAAAATTATAATAAAGTATTTTATTCAGGATCCCCTCAGTAGTGAGGTTAAAATAAAAATGTAGGGTGTGGCTGGCTGTGACTGTGTGTGTTCTCTCTTAATGTCCACATACTGATATACCTTATGCTAAGTGTCAAATATTATAATGTATAGCAGAACAAAACCATTGCAGGAAAAAAGTTGTCTTTACGTTTCATTATATTCCAATTCCTAAGGGATTGACTTTAGGACAACCCATCCAAAATATTTAATAATTCATTAAAATATATAATATTGTAATTAAAAGAGAGAATCTTCTAGTAGTGTCTAAAAATTAATCCCAAGCTTTATAATATGAAGAATTAACAATTCGAAATATTAGTAAAAACTTTATGTATATTGCAAATAAACTAGAGAACCATCTGGTAGCGTTCAGTAATCAGTACTATGCCAATATGAATAACGATTGGACTATTACTAAAATTTCAACTAAAAATTGGATGATTGTTTGAAAATGATTTATGTTGATTTTTTTTTTAAAAAAATGCTTAGTTAATACAGATCAGGGATGACAGTTATTTATATAAATATTTTATGATAAAGTATTCTAATATCTATATATTTTTATCTAGCTTTTTTTTTATTAAAAGTATCTCTAAATATATATATATATATATATATATATATATTGTTGTAAATCTCTAGAAATTGGTAATGAACACGTAAAAATAGGTCACAATTGCATTTTCCTTTTATCAACGGATTTAAATCGAGGGATCAAAAGTAAAACTATGTGGATTAAGTTATTTATAAGATATAAACTGCCAAGTACATGCATGTATCAAGCAACCAGAGACACAAACACAAAACACACTTAACACTTGCACATACAGACATGACATATACATATACATATATATATATATGTATATGCTGTGTCAAGAAGAGGAGGGGTAAAGTATCCAGGATTTGCCGGAATTAGCAGTGAACTGCTTAAGTCTGCCGAAGAACATGACAATTATCAGTATGAATTTTCCGGCGGGACTCCACCGCCCGGCGAAACCGTACCACGCATCTTCACAGTGCCCGTCGCCTGCGTTCAGCCGTCGTTCGCAGCTATAACCCGCCGTGAACCCCACGTTTCCATATGCACTGGCATGAACATACAACCACATGCACGTCTCGTGCGTAAGTATATATTGTATGATACGCATGTGTATATACGTAAATGGAGTATGTCATCCTCGAAAACTGAAGGATTACAATCCGGGCCGTATCTGAGATTTCGAGACCCCAGTGGAATGCTAAATTTGTAATTTATTTTAAATCCAAACGATTGTTTATGCGGTTTAAGTTCGACCCATGTTATGATTTTATGTATGGTCTACATATATACGTACATATATATATGTGTGTATATATATATATGTGAATACGAGTGAAATAAGAGATAAATATGGCGAAAATAGCCGGAGAAAGGACCTGATAACTTCGAGAATGATGTTGAGGACGTTGAAGTTGAGTGGGTCTCGACGGAGCATGTGCCTCTCCGTTATGGAAATGAGAATTACGAATATTGACAAAAAGCCGAGTTGGGACATCAAAATCCTTTCCACGACGCTCTCTTTCTTCCCACCCTTCTTGACTTGATCTCCGTTATCATCATCCCCCCTCTCCTCCTCTTCTCCGGTCAAAGGCATAAACACAGTGTATGGCGGAAGATACCTGGTCAACGCATTTCATTAATCGATCATGTAATAATTACATCAAATAATTGACACACGTGTGTATATATGGATTTGGCTTTGACTTAATTAGGTATATGTATATATATGTTTTTGTAATATTGAATCCGACCCATTCTCCACTACAACCCTTTTGCTTTGTGGGTCTCACGGACATACAAGATTTCCACCATTTCTTCGTGTTTTTATTTACGCGTCGTCTAATTCCTATATATGGTCATTATGACAAATAAGACTTTTGCATGAAATACTGAACACATATACAGAGCGAGTATCCGTGCCGCCACCACGTTCGTGATTGGGGTTTCGTGCAGTGGAATCTTAAGATTATAATATGTGACTGATAACTGAATTATGATATAATGATCGGATTCTTTGTCGAAGAATAAGGCATCCGAAACGATTCTCTGGGGGAAAGTCGACCAACTTTCATGTGGTCAGCTCCCTATTTACGCGTAACCACATAAACACCATGAAAATCGACCCACACACAGACACCCATATTTGCGCATGCATGTCTGCATCAAACTGCGTTACAGGTTGGGAAACATTATATGACATCTGGAGGATGAGCATCACATCATGTTTAAATTATTCGTGTGTGTGTATATGTTGAATAAATCATGGAAACATAAAAATAAAATAAGATACGAATATTTGATCTTAATGATGGCTAGGCACGCGCATGGTACGCGTAATGGAAATTCCCATTCCAATCTTTTTTTTTTTTTATAATGGTGATACCCGGTGGGACGTGGTTTTTGGAAATTTCCATTCCAATCTTGGGTATCCTTTCCTCGTGATGCAATGTAATATATATACACGCGTGTATATACGTATGTATAGAGAGAGAAAGAGGAGGGAGATTAAACTCACATCATAATGATGAACACCACCAGGATGGCTTGGGAGATGGTGGAGAGATCCACGATGGATTCGCCTGCGTGTCTCGAATTCACTACTTCAAACAAAGATCCGACAAACTTCTCGTACGAACTCATACCCTCTAGAGACTGAGACTTCCACTCCATGGAGCAGAACAGAACAAGCTGTAATATTATGAACACGAACGCCGTGGCCCCGAGAAGAAGGCAATGACGAGACGACAGCAAATGGGAATAACCCATCTTCTTGTAGTTCTTGAGGATGTAACCGAACTCGCGTCGGTTCGTGGATTTGGAGAGTGCCCAGATGGACAAGAACAAGCAACAAGGGAACAAAGTGTTGCCCATCAGAACTTGCGGGATCATGAGCAAGAGAAGGCCCGAGTTCTTCCTGAACACGATCATGTTCTCGTTCGTGGGCACGAAGCCGCAGTTCGCGAACGTGGACACGGTCGTGAAGACGGAGAACGTGAAAAGCGAGATGCCTTTCGACCTCAGAACTTCTCTCGAGGTTCTGACAACGGTTACGTAGACGAGAAGCAACATCGAACCAATTGTGTGTACCACGAGAAGGTAGCCAAGAACGACAGAGTACAAACTCCTAGAAGCCCTGTCTTTGAATTCATCGGCATCATCACCTTCTCCTACAGTACTTTCAACATCATTTCCCCGACGATCTCCGTACAAAACGACTGGTCCAGAAGACTCGATCTTACGATCGTGTTGATCCAACCTGAACGAACGAATGAAGCGTTCGATCTTTTGGGACATTTTGACGGAGTGAGAGAAGTAGAGAGAGAGCATGGAAGTGAAGACTTCGCCGCCGAGGAACATGAGGAGGGTGACGATGATGAGTTGGGTATTGGACAAGACTTCCATATTGAAAGTGGACATGCTCGAGACAGTAACTGCGGAGACAGAAGTGAAGAAGATGTCCAGGTCGTGGAGGTGGGAACTGGTTCTAGGTTTTGATATCTTGAGAGCCAAGAAACCGACAAAGGAGAAGAACAAGAAGTAGAGGAGATTGAGGAAGAAAGGGGATCGAGATTTGGCGAATTTAGATGGGAGATTTGCTAACTTAACTGCAAACATCTCCATGTCGGATCGGTTTAGTCAAATTATGGCCTCTCACTTGCTAAAGGGATGCGTTTATATACACACACACGAACGAGCACAGCCACTCATGCATAATGACATGAAAATAATTAAAAACCCTTAATTAGCACAATATATGGTGGAATACCCCATATTAAATGCAAACCATAGACTCCTACCGTTAGTAACCTTAGAGGCATATACACGTGTCGAAGTATCATTTCTTATAAAGAAAGAGAAAATTAAAAGGAAAATAATTTTTTGGACTAACAATAACCTTAGAGGCATATACACGTGTGGAATATCCATGAGACGATTCGGGTTCGGATTTCATATATTGAAATAACGGGTACCGTTTATATATTAAAATTACAAAATTATTATTATATTCTTAATATAATTACCAAAATACTTAGTTTATTTCTACTTTTTTTAAGGATTATATATTGAATTTTCAAGTTGTGGTGAATTCACCTTCAAATCATTGTGTATTTTAATTTTTTTTTTCTAAAATTCTATGTATATTGTTATATCTTAAGAATTTTCAAACTTATAAATGTGTTTTTGGACTAAAATATGTATATTTTTATTGATTATTTGGTTTAATTTTATATTGGTTAATGTTTTATAAATGGATACTAGTACTTGGTTATTCATCTTTTAGTTATGGGTACCCGTTGGACGGGTATCCCGATGTTGTGAGATAGAGACAAAGATAACATTCCTCTAAAATCCGTGAAGACGGGTATTTCAAAAAACGCGAGTACCCGATCCGTGCCCAACCCTAAAAATAACCTGTCAAATGATTATGTGAAAAATAATATATTTTTATTTAAATATAAAACTATTTTTAAGCCAAATTACGAAATTGAAATTTAAAATCAGGTTAAAATAGACTTTTCAAATGATAAAAATTGTATTATCATATTTTTTTTAAATGTTACTTTAGTATTCTGGATTATTTTTTTGGTCTAAATTAAAAAATCCCCAATTTTATTTTACTTTTTGGAGTCAAATATTATATATTTTGAAATGTTGGGTTAATGTGTATTTTTGTTTTTCGTCATTTTCATGTAAATTCGAATTTTCTTATATTTTTCCTAAATTAGAAAACTTAAGAAACAAGATTCAAGATCAAAGAATGTGGAATAAAAGTTTCTAGAAAAATCGGGAGAGAAGATCTTTAGATTGAAAACGCAAGATCGATTTAAAGAGAATTTCATTTGAACAGTTACTTCTTGGAACAATTGTGTGGTATGAGTTAAGGAATTTAATTATAAAAATATATATATATATATATATATATATATATTAATTTATGAATGAAGGGGTGGAAGGGGGACCATCGCAATCTAGCACGAGTGAGTTACATTGTAAGTGATATTTCAAATCACACTAAGCTAAGTTGAATTAACGATAACATATTCTATATTAAATAAAAAAAAATGAAAGTGATTGGACCGGGCGTCTGATGGAGAGGTTGAACGAATGAACACAATCGAATCTGTTGCTCCACTAATATATATATATATATATATATAACGAAAAATTCGGCTTTTCAATTCTTACCATGGATTTGCTGCTCGACCCACAAGTGATTTTAAGCTTACAGTTTTAACCACTACAAGATACCGTCCGAATAAAATCACGAATACAATATATATATATATGTATATATATTCGAATTCGCACTTATTTTAAATATTTGCGCGTATCGATCGGTTGATTAGACGCCACTAGAATCCAATATACTTTACACTAATATAGAAGAAGCATATGAAAATAAAAGATGCAAGGTCGTTTTTTGGTATAAGGTGCTATTCATAGAGAACATCCAAAAATATTAATCGATGAATCTCTGTAGATAAACATATGAATAGCATATAATTATTAATATGCCACCTGTATTTTTTTTTTTGGCTACGTGACGTTTCAAACGTTTTTTGTGATGTTTGAAATGATCAAAGAAAGAAATCTAGAGACGATATTGGTTTTGTATTTTTAATTTGATCAAAATATTCCAGACGAAGATATCAGATTTATAATAAATCGTAAATGCAGACGGTTTTGCCTTTAAAAAAATATTTTTTAACATTATTTAGATGTGTTGACAGTAATATATAGACAAAATGACATTTTCCTACACGAACTGTTTAAAATGTGACTTTTTCCTACACGAATTTTTAATTTGACAAAAAACTACACCAAATTATCAAATGTGCCAAATTGATACACGAACTACCCAATTTAACTGCAATTTCCTACACAATCCGAAAACGGCGTTAAATATCCGTTAACTGATGATGTGGCACGCAACATGGTATCTAACGTGGCACTCACATGGAAAATTTTGCCACGTCAGCATGTCACGTCATATTTAAAAAAAATACAAAAAAATCCGAAAAATTGTAAAAAACAGATTAAAAAATATAAAAAATCCGAAAAAATTGAAAAAAAGTAAAAATAAAATAAAAATAAAAAGCAAAAAAATACACATATATATACATATATATTCATAACTATATACAAATACAAATATAAACATATATACTCCTATATATGTATATATATACTTATATTTTTTTTATTATGTATAGATATGTATGTATATGTATATATATATATATATGTGTATACATGTATTTATATATTTATATATTTGTATATATATAAATATACTTGTATGTATGTATATATATTGGTATAAATGCATGTATATATGTGTATATTTTTTATTTGATATATATAGACATATATATACATAGGAGTATTTATGATTATATTTGTATTTGTATGTGGATATGAATATATATGTATATATATATATTTTTATTTTGTATGTATGTATATATATATGCATATGTATATATACATGTATATATGTATTTATATGTGTATGTGTATATACATAAATATATTTGTTTGTATGTATATGTATATATATATTTGTATAGATATTAATATATATGTATATGTACATATGTTTTAATTTGTATATATATATATATATTTTATATAGGAGTATTTATATTTATATTTGTATTTGTATATAGATATAAATATATATGTAGGGGTATATATATATATTTATATAGGAGTATATATATATTTTTTAAATTTTTTTTCGATTTTTTTCAGACTTTTTTCGGATTTTTTTAAAAAATCTGACGTGACATGCTGACATGGCAAAATTTCTATGTGGTGTGCCATGTCAGACGCCACATGGCGTGCCACGTCATCAGTTAACAGACATTTAACACCCAATTCGGATTGTGTAGGAAATTGCAGTTAAATTGGGTAGTTCGTGTATCAATTTGGCATATTTGATAATATAGTGTAGTTTTTTGTCAAATTAAAAGTTCGTATAGGAAAAAATCATATTTTAAACAATTCCTGTAGCAAAATGTCATTTTCCCTAATATATATGATTGATTACGACAGTATTTGCTGCTAATTTGAACATCCTTTTACATAAAATTATGTGAAACAATAGACCGACCTTTTTATCATATAATTTTCTATATTCTTACAATTTTTATATATGAGATTCAATTATGGTATCATCTCTGTCTCGTGTTATATATAATTAATATGATTTTTTTTTTTGTAGATGTTATAATCGTCCATTATAAATATTGCTATTGACATAATATCTCACTACTTTGTGGTTATTAAAAAACCATATCCTATCAACGTTTTTTAGTTTAATATTTAATATACTGTAAACACGATTAAAAAAAAACCATATGGTTGTCTCTCACCAAAACAATATTAATCAAAGCTTTGTGAAGGATCTATAATAATATAATTCAATATTAAGAATTTGTTCTATATCAAATATCGACTGAAGAAAGCAAATCTCTACAATATATTTGCTGTATTTATCAAATGAATCCAGTTTAATATTCAGAATATTGAAAATAAACTTTGAAAAAATGGACCAAAAAAAAATTCTGAACTGTTAGCTTGTAATTGCATACTCATATTTGGTAACTTTGCATGAAATTCCAACCGATAATCAAGTTGCTGTTTCACCCAATCGCGATCACACTATTAAAAAAACATCTGTAAAAATGTCTTAAAGACAATCCCGTAAAATTATGAGATTTGATTCTAAATTAATATAAGTTTTTGATATTTTTTTTATAATAATTAAAAGTGATGATAAAAATTCAAATAAAATTTTGAATTTTAATCGGTTTGAAATTATAGTATCATTAAATGTATGAATGTCCGTTTCTTGGAACCCAAACGTGATTAAAAGAAAATGATGACACCATATCCACTGTCAATTACATATCGTCGATTTTTTTATTTATTGTTTTTTGGTAAATTTTTGCATGAAGTTATTCTAATCAATAATCAAGTTACTGTTTCACCGAACCACAATTACATCAAATCGTGTCGAACCACCAAAAAAAAAAAAAAGCGGACCACCAAATTACTCGTACGTCGTTTCCCACTAACTCGGTGATTAACGATAGACCAACTTCAATATTAATTGGTCGGCTACTTTTTTCTTATACGAAATTTCAATTAATCTTTGCTTTATTATATGATTTCGGAATTTAAAAGGCCATTTCCCGTGCATTGTATAACCTCTAGACATTCATATATTATTTGTTTCCTGATAAAACCGAACACCAAATCCAATGTTTTGCATAATATCAAAATTTAACCCGTTGGAATTATAAAGATAATATCGTGATTCATCAAAACTATTTTTTCTATATACACACACACACACACAATTCTCTAAATTAACATATATATATATGTATAAATTCTATTTTTTATATATTGATATGTAGGGATTTAATATATATACACGCACACACACAATTACTAAGAACCCTAACAATTAATTATATCATTATCGTTATAATTATATGGTTCCATATGTAACAAGGCCCTTAAAAAAACCTCCATAGTGAATATGACCTTATTCATTACCGAAAGAAAACGACCCTTCAGAGGCCCAAACCCAAGATAGGAAAACAACGAGGCCCTTACAAAAAAAACTAAACGTCTCTCTTCTCTCTCTCTCTCTGGTCTCTGTGGAAGATGAGTGGAGTGTCTCTGCCATGGAGAGTCTCTCTGAGCAGCTTATCCTGCTTCAACAGCAGCGATGCTTGTCCTTTCCTTTTCCCCGCGCGACGTCGTTTCCCTCTCTCCGGCTCCCTCGTCACATCTCTTTCCCTTCCCTGTTCTTTTTCCGGCAACGGTGCGGCTATGGTTGTCGACGACAATCTCCACGCTTTCCTCGAGGTGACCTTTTTCGTATAACGTATCGATTTTCTCCGTCTCCGTTCTTTTCTTTTACGAAATGCGGGTTTGCCCTTGTCACAGGTTCTTCCCCAGGATCTGCGTCATCGTCTTCTCAACGATTTCCGCCGAAACCTGCTCGTGGAGGTTATAATTCTTATCCATGTCACCTCGTCTCCGACAAGTTTATGCCTTTTTTGTTTTGTTAGGGAACAGATCAAAGGAATTAGAAAAAAAATTGTGGTTGATTTGCTTCCCTATCAATAGGTGGTAATGGACTTGGGCAGGCCACCAGAGGCACGGTATCTGGGTGAACCCGGAGGCCAGTATCTTAGGACCACAGAGGTAAAACTGTTCTGTGTTTAGGTACCCATTTGTCGGAGTTTGTGTCGGTGTTTAAAGTTGTATGCTTTTTTACCCAATGAACTAGCTTAGGTATCCATGGAAGAGCTTGAGCATGCTCAGAAGCTGGTTGGTGAATTTGGGGCTGATAATAGGGCTGGAATCGAAGGTACGTTGCACAGAATATCTGCAATCCGCAGTAGGAAAGGCTCGATCGTTGGCTTAACATGCCGGGTTGGAAGAGCTGTGAGTGGACATATTGACATGCTCTACGATCTGCTTCACTATGGAAAAAGCATCTTGTTTGTTGGGAGGTACTCATTGTGTTCTTTTCCGCATTGCATTAGGCTTCGTTTCTCTGTTTATTTCGTTGGATGATTCTCCAAAACGTTCTGCTTATTGATCTCAAACAAGGCCTGGGGTTGGCAAGACTACTGTCCTGCGAGAGATTGCTCGTGTCCTATCTGACGAATTCCAGAAAAGAGTGGTCTGTCCCCGCCTATCCTGTGCCTCTCAGCACTGATGGTTTGTCCTAAAACGTTTGTGGTATGCCTATTGTGGTTGTAGGTGATAATCGATACGAGCAACGAAATTGGAGGGGATGGCGATATTCCCCACTCGGCTATTGGAGGTGCTAGGAGGATGCAGGTTCCCAAGCCATGTTTGCAGCATAAGGTCATGATCGAGGCAGTAGAGAACCATATGCCACAAGTCATAATCGTTGATGAGATTGGCACTGAAGCCGAAGCTCTTGCTTGTCGCTCAATTGCTGAAAGGGGAGTCATGCTCATTGGCACAGCCCATGGAGAGCAGCTTCAGAATATCATAAAGAACCCTACTCTGTCAGACTTGGTGATCTATTTTTACACGCGCTTATTGGTCTTGTTATTATTGCATGATACTTAGCTTCTGCTTTTCCTCAATCTTTTTATTGGTTGCAGATTGGAGGAATTGAGACTGTCACTCTGGGAGATGAAGAAGCCCGGGCAAGAAGATGCCAGAAGAGCATTCTTGAGAGAAAAGCTCCACCGACTTTTTATTTCTTGATCGAGATGAGAGAGAGAGATTATTGGATTGCACATCAGGTATATATGCATGTGCTGTACCACAAGCAACCGTTTAACCCCCTATGTGTGGGTCATGGGATCTACATTTCCATTTTCTTTGCACTCAGCATCCAGACCAAACAATTTTGTTCTTTAATGCTGCTGCAGACAGAGAAGAGTGTTGATATGCTACTCCGCGGCAGGAACCCGATGGTTGAGGTATGAATATACTAATCTCTCGTGTAGTAGGTTATGGCCTTTGAGGTACTTGATGGAGATAAGTAGGATAATGGTGTTGATTCGAGTTCTTACTCATGGCCTTAAGGTGAGGAAAAGAGACGAGCAGTTCAAGGTAGTAATAGAACGATGGAAGGCATACGATGGACAAGGCATCTGATTTCTTTCTTCCTGGTGTTCCGACTTGCTTCAGTGCTCGATTTTGGCATTGCTTGAGTGTGTCCTTCTGGAACAATGGCTTTTCGGTTGGACAAGCTTCTGTCTTCCCTGTCTTGATGGAAGTCATACTAGTGTTAGATAAAGGTGTCTGGTTCAAACCAGTGAATGATGTACATGGAGTTCCCAAAACATTGGAACAGGTTGAAAAAATTTCTTAGTTTGTATTGTTCTCTCCATCAAAGCGCTTGCTCATACAATTTGTATTGTGATCTGGTTGGAGCCAAACACACAGAAAATCTTCCCAACCCAACCCATTAACATTGGAAGGAGAAAGTGCAAGAATACCAACACTGAAAAAAGAATCTGAATCATTAGGGGCTTGCTGTTGACTTGAAGAAAAATCTTATTTACTTTTGTTTCAAAGAGTTGTGTGCTTGGTTTTCTCAGAACTATTTTCATGTAATGGTACATTCGAGTTCTTTCCCGACCAGTAGGATAGCAAAAACCGGGTTTAGGAGAAGTTTACATATGTTTGGGTAAGAAGATAAGGCATGAACGGTTTATATTTTATGGCCGAAACGAAGAGAGTTCGTCTGGAGTTGGACGGGGAGCGAGCAAGCGAGCGAGCTTAAACTGTGAGGGGAAATGGGCTTCGTGGGCGTTGCAAGTTTAACAAGTAGCAGCCCCAGTCGAGTATTTATAGGAACAGACAAACCCTACCATTCCATCTCAGGCGTTGTTGCAAGAAGAACAGCGACTGCGAGGATCAGAGCAGAGTCGATGGCTACGGAAAAACTCGGAATCAAGATCGAGAAGAACCCTCCCGAGACAAGACTCACCGAACTCGGTGTCCGTAACTGGCCCAAGTACGTCTTATTGTCCTAAACCCCATCGTTGAAGTTCGTTTCTATTGGAACCGATGAATCGGATTCAATCTACAAAAGTTGTAGGATGGTTCTGTTAATAATTGTCTTTGAAATAGAAACCCGTTTGTTGTTTGACATGGAAAGTCTTAATTTTTTTCTCGCCCACAGATAAAGTATTCGCCTTTCTTTGATCTCCATGTCGATGGCTTATGCACTGAGGACACGAACCCAGATTGCAGCTGTGTCTGCTTATTGAGTTTTATTGGTCTATTTCTGCAATTTCTATAACCCTTTTGTGCCCAGTAACTGATGTTACACGATATGGCTCAGGTGGGGATGTCCTCCGAGCAAGTTTCCATGGACATACAGTGCAAAAGAGACGTGCTTTCTGCTGGAGGGAAAGGTGAAGGTGTACCCCGATGGATCAGATGAGGGCGTGGAGATCGGTGCGGGCGATTTGGTCGTGTTCCCAAAAGGGATGAGTTGCACTTGGGATGTCTCCGTGGCAGTGGATAAACACTACAAATTCGAGTGACCGATTCCATCGAGTCATCTGGGTTTTTGCTTGTAAGCAACGGGTGCGTTATGAACTTAATATGAATGCATCGTCATATATATACGTATGTGTGTTGTTGCTACTGCAGAAACCTGTTGATGTATTCATAGGGTTCTTTCTTGATCTTCTCTGTCTGTGAAATGCTTCAACTTCATGTCCGTATGTTGAAATAATATCTGTTTGTGGGATGCTTTAGCATAGATTCCTGGATTCCTTCCTCTTAGCCTATCCTTTTGTTCCTCATTCTTTGATGAAATTACTGGTAGATTCAAAGGGTTTGAGATAAAGTGTAATTAGATGGAAAGATCTATCAATCTTGAATTCGAACATTAGATTTGCATTCAAATCTGAATCCATCTGCATTCTGGGTGTTAAAATTCAAATACGGATGCAGGTTTTCGTCATTTTGTTCGAGCATGATGCGTCATGTCACTAGTTAGAGTATAAATATCCAAGAAAAAGGATGTAGACGGAGAAAAGGGCGTCACTGTTCACGAACCTTTATGAAGCTGTCTCAATTGGTAAAGTTCCTGAGGACAACACTTGGAAACGCTTGACTCTCTCTCTCTGCGAATCCAAATGAAAAATCATTCTTTAGCCCTGAGCCTGCTCCTGGTAATAATCTGCGTCGGTGTTTCCATCATCAGCTCGAAGCTTAACCGTGGAGAAATGAGAGTCTCGCCCTCTAAATTAGACATGGGTTCTGCGATTCCCACCGAGATTCATGGAGTGAAGATCCTGAAGCAGCCTTCGGAGTCCATGCTTGCCGAGCTTGACGCACCCTCTTGGCCCAAGTTCGTTCCTTCTCTCTTCTCCTTTTCTTCCTTCCCGATAATCTCTCATCTGTTCACTTCAATGGCATGTACAAATCTAGGGTTTCCGCAAGTAGCCGTTTTTGTTCATCGATTTGGGAACCCGGCATACTTAACTGGTGAAAAGCCATAGTGATAGTTTTATTGTTCCTCGTTCGCGATGTCTTTATGTTCTTCGTTTACTGGTTTTAACAACTGTTGGCTCAGGACACGGCATTGTTTCCATGGATAAACACACTCAATGTCTGTAGTTGATATATTCCAGAAGACGAAATCGCCATAGCCAATTGTTTCTTTTTGTCATCCAATGGGGAAATCCAATTGTTGTCTGAAAATCTATCTGGTTAGAGATTTGATGACTGGTTATGGATTTGTACAAACCTTAGTTTCTACAAACGGGACGTAAAGATCTATCTGTATACTGGTTATGGATTTGTGTCTCTGAACAGCAATGCAAAATGTTTACCACCAAACTTCATTGAAGGATAAAAATGTATACGCTGATGAATGGGAGAAAATTCGACAGATGGGAGGGCGGTCCGAGCAAGTTTCCATGGACATTTGAAGCAACAGAGACGATGTATTTCGTGGAAGGGAAAGTGAAGGTGTACGTAGGTGGGCATGAGGCAGAAGAAGAGGCGTTTGAAATAGGGGCAGGAGACATGGTCGTTTTCCCTAAAGGCATGAAGGTTGTTTGGGAGATAACTAAGGCCGTCAAGAAGCACTACAGCTTGGAGAAGTAAGTGGTTCAGTTTCTCCTCTCTCAGCTCCTTGTGTCTTTGCCATTTAATATATATAACAAAGTGAATTGTCTCATTGACCTTGAACTGTATTCTAAATCCAATGCCAGACAAATGAAATATTTATATATATATATATATGAAACATATTTATTTTTTAAATTTATTAAATTTTCGTGCAAATATATAGATTATATATATGTGATATTTATCAAAAGTTCTTAATTGAATACGAATTAAATTTTGGTTACGCCCTCCTAACACAGTGTGTTCTGGTCGACAATTCAGTGGGCTTTATAATAGGCCCAATATGTTCTACTTGGAAGCAAATCGAATCGGCCCAATAAATTCGGTTTTCAAGGCCTAATCTAAAGCTCTGTATATCTTTTTTTTCGCAATATTATATTTATATATTATAATTGCCAGTCAAGATAAATTCGAGTTATCTTTTGATTGTTTGTCTTTTTTAAATGCTTTGTCATGATGAAGCGGACAAAACCGGGTGCCTTTGGCGATGAAATACCAATACTGCCCCTCATCCCATTCGTCGTAAGCGGACAAAATGGTCATTTCACGCAAAGCCTATCCATCCGCCCACACCCAGAAACCGAGAAAACCACTAGCCACAGCGCCTGGTATTGCATCCCCCCATCTCCAGCTTTGCGGCCATTTTGTCCTCTTTTTCCTCTCTATATAATAAATCCTTCGATTCACTTCTCTTCATCAGCATATTTCAAAGCAATTGTCTTCAAGCAGAAAGCTCACAAGCAGATCGGATATTACCTCAGAAGAAGAAGGAACAATTAGAGATGAGTTCGACGAGCAAAACGTGGGTTGTGGCGGCGAGCATCGGAGCCGTGGAAGCGTTGAAGGACCAGTTAGGCGTTTGCCGGTGGAACTACGCTCTCCGATCGGCTCAGCAGCATCTCCGGAACAAGACGAGATCCGTTTCTCAGGCCAAGAGCCTCTCTTCGTCGTCGTCTTCCTCCTACTCCGCCGCAACCGTCTCGAGCAAGATCAGGGACGATAAGGCCAGGCAGGCCGAGGAGTCGCTCAGGACGGTCATGTACTTGAGCTGTTGGGGTCCCAATTGATGAACCACGGACAGCTCAACAAAAATCCGAAAGATTACTGAACGATTTTGCTTCGTGAAGAAGATGTATAGAATGGTATAACGATGAGAACGAATACGAAGATAACGATGAAGCCCAAAGGTTTTGGAATCGGAGAAATCTATGGAATCTAAATCGTCGCTGTGACTCTGGAACCTCCGTCGATAAGACGATTAGAGGAGGGAGCAAAATAGTGGGCCAAATGTACTATTTTCTATGCTATATATTGTACAGTGGGCTTTTGGGCCCATTAGTAGGCCCAATGTAAATATGTATGTAAAACGATGACGTATAGTGACACGAAGGAGATCAAGCCTTACTTTTGAACAGAGTTCTGCTTTCTCTGATATTTTATTTTAAAAATAAATAATGATTCCGAATAATGTTGAAAAAACGCCACGCGCATTTTAAACGCGCATCCATCACACTCCAGATATGTATGCACCATAACATAACTGTGACCATTGCCAATTTTTGAAATCTCGGAAAACAAGGCGCGTGGAGTTCTTAATGAAACTTCCTTCGTGGTGAAATCTCCGTTCGACCTCCCCAGCCGCCGCCGCCTTTATTCTCCGGCCAGCGCCACTGCCTCCGCCGGATTCGCTGCAATCAGTATCTTTCCTCTCCGGTTTCGGCTCTTCCTTAATCTCAGGGTCCGATGAAGATGAAGGGTTTCCCGGACAGATTTCGGCGTAAGAGAGATGATTAAAGATCAACATTTCTAAGATCGATGATTTTATTTGAGATCGATTAACCAGGTTCATCAGTTTCATTTTCACATCCCCGAGTATCAAGGAGATTTAGTTTAATTTTCCGAATTACGTGCATTTTGCTATCTAATCGCGAACGTCCTCTTCGTTTATTAATTATTTCCTTGAACCTTAGATCGCAACATGTGTGCAAGGGATAATTTTCGGTAATGGATTATTATTTATTTGTCAGAAACGAGGTTACACAGATTTTGGTATATAGATCGCATCATCACAACAGACAGAAGACGTTGGGGATGGATTTACTTGATCGGAGCTCTTGTTTGGTTACACAGATTTTGGTATATAGATTGCATCATCACAACAGACAGAAGACGTTGGGGATGGATTTACTTTATCGGAGCTCTTGTTTGGTTTGAGATGACTTGAGTTTGCTAGGTTCGTTCTCTTCAGCATCAATGCTGACGACCTTCGGACCCTTGATCTTGTCAGGGGAGAGTTTGGTCAGGTTAATAGTGAGCACACCGTCTTCAAGCTTGGCCTTGACAGAGTCCAAATCCACATTGTCGGGAAGTTTGAACTGTCTCCAGAATTTGCCATAGGACCTCTCAACTCTGTGCCAATGGTCTCCCTTCTTCTCTTCCTCGCGTTTCCTCTCTCCGCTGACTCGCAGAACTCGGCTCTCTCCTATCTCGATCTTGACCTCGTCCTTCTTCAACCCGGGCACGTCGAGCATGATCGTATGACCTTCAGGTGTTTCTTTCCAGTCCACTCTTGCAGGAGACAGAGCCATGCTCTGATCCCTCTCTAGCCCTAATGGGGTTTGCTCCAACATTCTGAACGGATCGGGGAACCGGTCCGCCCAGAGATCAGAGAGTAGACTTCCTGGAGTATTAAGAAGAGGAAGCAAAGACCCTTCATTCGTTTGAATGTTCCCGAGGAACATCAAGGCTAGGAAAAGGCCGAGCTGCACGCGGTAGTAGGGCAAGACACCTCTCATTGTTGTCAGTATTTTGTTTTGTTGCAGAACGGGAACTGAAGCTGGTGTTTTATGAACCCTAATGGTGTCTTTTATTCTGTGGATGTAAGGAAGAAAGCTCTGGTGTATTTATAGGCGTCTTATGAAGAAGAATGCAGTAGATTCTTGAAACCTCTAGCACTTTTCCTCGTCCTATTAAAAGTCCGGGCATGTTCTATCTAATGTGTTCCAGAGAACTGGTGAATGTTCTAGCTTCGGCTGCCATATTGTTGTGGTCTAATTATTTTATTACACGTAGAAGTGGAGGTAGAGCCTTCTTTCATGTTCCGGACACTTGCCAAGATACATGATCTTCTGTCTGGCCCATGATTCAAGATCTCATGCAGGCCTCTTTTTTAGGCCCATCAATGCATTTTGGGCTGAACTGCTTGGTGAGCTACGAGATGAGAACTTTCAAGATTTTGCTGCATGGGAAGGGAATGGGGAATTTGAACGTACCATGCTACAGAATTCATCTCTTCTGACATTTCAGGGTAAGGGTTTTGATCTTTATTCTCTCTTGTTCTAGACACCTTTTAGAATGCGTAGCGTGGTCCATACGTGCTTAGACAATGGTTGATTGCTATGGCCGTGTAAGCAGGCTTCTTCGTTTTTTTGTATCTATAGAGTGAATAGCGATAGTAGGAGGGCATTTATTGAGTTTAATGCCAGCCAAAGTTGGCCTCCCCAGAATTTGCAGCTGTATTTAAGTTTTGTTATTCTTGTTCTTTGTCTAGGTTCATTCCTTGTCCTACTTCTCATTAATGTTCAGAGCCATTTGCCCTATACTTCACGTGAGAGAATATCCCAACAGCTACCAGACTTTGTCAACTTGGCAATTTATAAGATTCAACAAAGTTCAGTGTCAAAAATAAGTGTAGGGCGGACACAGACCAACCCAGAGATGAAGATACAATGTGAAGTGTGCGAGAAGGCAGAAGCCGAGGTACTATGTTGTTCGGATGAAGCTGTTCTTTGCAAGTCTTGTGACGAGAAGGTTCATACGGCTAACAAGTTGTTCCAGAGGCATAACCGGGTCACTCTCCTAAAGCACAATTCCACGTCTTCTGGAATTCCCCTTTGTGATATCTGCCAGGTCTTTGATATGTTTGGTCTGTGGATTAAAACAGTGTTGTCTTTTCCTTTCTTTTTTCATCAAAGATGGCTTAGAACATGTGCAGGAGCGAACCGGGTATGTTTTCTGCTTGGAGGACAGAGCATTGCTCTGCAAGAACTGTGATGGTGCAATTCATAAGTGCACTTCACACCAAAGGTTTCTAGCCTCTGGAGTCCACGTCTCTCTTCAGTCTTGCATTGAAGACTCTGAGTGCAGCACTAGCTTAAGTTCCTCAATTTTTCAAATCCATCCAAGCGGGGAAAGTGAAGCTGGAAACTCAGGTGAGAGATAGACCTTCCTTCCTTGTCTACTTGGTGATGATATTGTTATCAATTCTCTAATTACCCTCTTAAACGCCCATTATCATGATTCATAGTCCACGAGTTAGGATGCTAATCAAATTGAGGTTAGTAGATATACCTTTTTACATGTGTGGGGGGGGGGGGG